TGGGTGTCTTCTTCCGCAGCTTTCATCCCTCGCCTCCGTCGCCCTGACCCTCCCTCAGTCTCGGCAAGCCGAGGGCCCAACTTGAGAATCGTGCTTTTTGAGTGAAGGAAGTCACTAATTCAACAAACAAAAAGCCGCGCGCGGCAGCGTTGACCGCACCTTGATCCTTGTGTGAAGTTGGGTGCCCTGTGACGCGCCAGAAAAGAAAAACGTCGTCGAACCTCGTCGCTATCAGCTATCGACCTACCGTGTCCTAGACCCCCTGGCTGGGTGTCTTCTTCCGCAGCTTTCATCCCTCGCCTCCGTCGCCCTGACCCTCCCTCAGTCTCGGCAAGCCGAGGGCCCAACTTGAGAATCGTGCTTTTTGAGTGAAGGAAGTCACTAATTCAACAAACAAAAAGCCGCGCGCGGCAGCGTTGACCGCACCTTGATCCTTGTGTGAAGTTGGGTGCCCTGTGACGCGCCAGAAAAGAAAAACGTCGTCGAACCTCGTCGCTATCAGCTATCGACCTACCGTGTCCTAGACCCCCTGGCTGGGTGTCTTCTTCCGCAGCTTTCATCCCTCGCCTCCGTCGCCCTGACCCTCCCTCAGTCTCGGCAAGCCGAGGGCCCAACTTGAGAATCGTGCTTTTTGAGTGAAGGAAAAATGGGGTTGTGTGTTTATGTGAAGGAATAAACAAGTGTATACTCGCATAATGTGGGTAAACGAAAAAAGTAGCGCCCAATTCGTCTACGTACGGCTTAGTGAGTGGTTGGGGTGGCCTCAGGCATCCCCAAGGGAGCCTCTGCGGTGCCACATAAGCAGCTTAGTGATTGTCGAGACTTAAAGTGTTTCGTTTGAAGAAACGCAAACCTTACAGACGGTACTATGGTCACCAGTAAACGAAAATTCGACTTTGAGGGATCATATCTCAAAAAGCCGGGAGATAGCATCGCATTATTGTTGCATATTATGCCACATAAGGTCAAACTTGACCCCAGAAGCATCAAGAACCCGATGCTCCGGCTCGACTGTGCCGGCACACTGCCTCCTCGCGCACGCTGCTAGCAGGCCGTTGCGGCCCGTGGTGCACCAGAGAGAGAGGTCGACGCGTTGCCCCCGCCGGCGACCCCGCGCGGCTCAGGCCAGCCAGAAGGTGTGTGGTGACGGCACCGTGGCAGGAGTGCGGAGAAGAGCTCGCCGAACGCGAGCAGCAGATGGCCAAAGTGTGCCAGCGCGAGAGCCTCGCGAGCGGGCGCAGAAGGAGCTCGCCGTGACACGATGCCGGGCGGTGGTGGTGCTCTGGCGACTGTGCACAGTGGGCAAAGTCAGGCTGCAACAGGGCAGCACGTTGGTAGTGCCCTGCTGCAGCCTGGCCTGACATGCACAGGGCGAACAGAGGCGGTACTATCGTCCGGCGCTCGTCACCGAATCTGGGCCAACTTCGACCGCCGCCACAGCTCGCCACGAGCACGCAGCGACAAAATGTTGACTGTATGGAAGTCGAGGCTGGTCCATAGGAAGAGGCTGCCGTGCGAGCCGGCAGCAGGCTGGCTCGTCGTGGACTGGCGCGACTTTTTTCGGTGTCTTTCTTGATAGTACCGAATTCGGTACTTTCGTTTACCCACATTCTGCGAGTACGAGTATCTGCCCAGGAGCCGGAACCCTTTGCGGCATGGTGTGTGTGTGTCGTATATGCAGGCTCCCCCTCCGACCACGGTCCTTCGTGGCCACCGCTCCGAAGTCACGTCGGTTCGCTTCGCTCCTTGGGCCGACGCGCGCGGCCAGCCCACGCTACTCTCTGGCTCCGGCGACGGTGAGCTCCGCGCGTGGA